TTATCTGTTCAGTGTTGTTTCAGCTAACTTTGCATCAAACTAATGAAGTCTTTTTGGCTAAAACTAAACCTTTTATTAGCGCTAAATTCCTCATGAATGCCCCAAATTCCTCTGCCATTGCAAAATCTAAACCGGGACATTTTAAGGCACACTTTCACTCTAATGCTTTTTCTTAGGTGACTAGTAGACAAACCTGAATAACTGACTATTTTTCTGTTCCCACAACTCATCTGATGGAATAATTTTGCCCTATATAAGACTGAATTTATTTTAGATTAATTTTAACTTACAGACACTTAACCAACTGGTCAACTGACCCTTTCTGATGTTTCTATGACAAACTATCTCCATTGATTTAGTTATGTACTTTTTGGCACAAGGCTAGTGTATTGTAAAATTTAACCCCACCCAAAATTTGCATGGCCCACACCCTGGCTCTGTTTAAACAAGCCCTTAAAACTTTGGTCTTTTCTCTGGACTTTCTTTGGATAATATTTTTCTGTGGTTTTATTGCATGTTTATTGTATTAAGTAAACCACCCAGAGTCTAACATTGGGACAGCCTATAGATAAAAGCAGATAAATAAATAACCTTAAGTATATTTACTTGGAAATAATCAGCGAGACTTTGGTGGAATAAAATAGCATTTATTGGGTTTCATTTATCTATGTCTGTTTAAGAATATTCTTAATTATGTATACAGCATCAATGTGCAAAAATAGTTTCCATCAAAACAGCCCATGAGTTAAGAATAGTTTAGACATGATTCCAGACTTCCTGAAAGGTAGAACACATACTCTGTAGTCATCCTCTTGTTCAAATCGTTCCCTAGACTAATTTCTTTTCAAATAAATTGAGCTGCCAGCCTCCTTAATCATTGTAATCTCTATAAAACATATCCGCTATTCAAGACTCTGATGATGACCTAGAATGGAAAAAATCAACAAAATACAAACATCTCTTTGAATATTCTCTTTGGAGGATATGAGTCAAAAGATAAAACGCCTTAAATGTTTAAAGGAAAGAACAGTATAAGAGACGAATTCTTCTTCCAAGGTACACAAGAGAACAACTGCAAGCATCCAACAGAGGCAATCATGAGCATTTAATTACATCTCTGCCAAAATTTAAATGCTGGGCATAGCTTGATCTGGAAATGGATGCAACTTAAGACTTTTATTTTCTTTCACAAAGTTTTGTCATTGTTTCTCTATCTTCTTTGTTGGCTCATAAGTATTTTTTGTGCATGTGTATGAGTTATCCATACTCTGAAATCCCATTCTTTTTTCCCCCTTCTCTCTATTTAGTGGGGTGAAATCATCTTCTTCCCTTCCTGACATTTGAATTTTCTTTGGGCTTAGACTTTTTCTGGCTGGGATTCTAGTTTCTATGATTATATTTGAAATTATAATGAAAATTTCTGGTTTTTATTTCAAAATTCCACTATGAACGTAAATGTTAAGCAGGGGGAACTTCCCTTCTTCAAAATGTTGTTATAGGATATTTTGAATTAAAGTTTGATTTGAACTATGACAACAGCTATAAATAAAGAAGAGATTTGGTTTTGAGATGCCTGTTGTCTTCTCACTCAGTAAACAATGCTATGTGGATAAATCACAAATATCAAAATAATATTTCCTATTATGTTGTAACTGTTAATTGTACTAACTTGAACAAAGAGGTATAAATCCATCTGATATTTAGATTGTTTTCCCTCCATATGTAGAATCTGGGAAAATTGTTATTCTCCAAAATGATATTGAGGATTTTTTTAAAATTTAAATTGTTGATCCCTATGCTGCTTCTACTGCATCTGCTTCCAAACTTTACTGAATGATGCTGTCTTGATTTTAGTATATGCAACTTGGGATCATCTGGCTTTTCTGCCCTTCATCTTCAGTATATTACTAGCCAGAAAAGACAGCAGCAATAGGCAAGTAGATGGAGATCGCAGCATCTGCAGGCAGGAAGTGTACGATGGTAGGCAAAATGTTGTGATGTAAGCAGTATTCTTTCAAACATGTGTGTGATGACACATACTCACAAAGAATGGGGCAGGAATCATGAAACTCTAATTTTGAGCCCCTTCCCCTCATCATGGACACCAATACCGTAGAGAAATTGGGAGATGCGTGAAATGCTAATGAAAAAGTAAAAGATAATACACATCTGTTGTGAGAGATTGCTTCTGCCTACATAACTTACAAAGTAAGTTACAGGTCAAAGTTCAGTATGTCAGGAGAAACATAAAATTAAACTGAAGGCAGAGGGAAATGTATAAGGTAAAACAAATGGGCCATGAATATCTTCTAAAGGAATGTGCTTGAATGCAAATGTGAATCAATGATCACTACTGTACATAAGAAGTACATTGAGATGGTTTGGTCATATAGAAAGAACTAGTAGGATTGAATTACTAAACAAATATATGAAAGAAGAGTGAATAGCTCAGGAAGAACGAGGGGCTTGAGAAAGCCATGCAGTTGATGAGATCCTCTGAAAGAGAGATGTGAGAACTTTGAAGAACAAAAGGCAATGTATGAAGTATTGCATAGAGGTGCTAAAAGCAAAGATGGTTGCAAGGATAGAAAAGTATGGAGAGGAACAGTGAATGGTCTTCATATAATTTAGATTTGCTTACTTTTTTTTAAATCTCATGCTTTTAATTTTTTTTTGCTTAATGTTTTTTTACACACTTCACTCTTCCTGTATATTCTATTGCTTATCTCAAAGAAAAACAGCATACTAGGTTTTTATCCAAAGTGAATATAAAGACCCTAGCAGATTATTCCATTCGTCCATCTAAAATATAGCTTAATTCAGGCAAGAGTTGACCAGTGGTCTCATTCTCTCCCTCTTGTCCCCCATCCAGGAGTTTCAGAAAAATCAAAAACTTGTGTTATTTTCTAAACCTTTTGTGAGCCTCCTAAAGGCATTGGTTTAATATGGATTTTATTTTTATTATAAGATCACGTGAAGTGTTAATACCACTTTACAATGCCTTGGTAAGGCCCCACTTGGAATACTGCATCCAGTTTTGGTCACCACGATGTAAAAAAGATGTTGAGACTCTAGAAAGAGTACAGAGAAGAGCAACAAAGATGATCAGAGGACTGGAGGACAAAACATATGAGGAACAGTTGCTGGGTAAGTCTAGTTTACGCAACTTGGGGGTCCTCCTGGACCTGCGGCTGACACTGGAAGACCAGTTGTCGGCCGTGACCAGGGGGGCGTTTTATCAGGTACGCCTGATTTACCAGTTGCGGCCTTTTCTGGACCGGGACGCCTTGCGCACAGTCACCCATGCCCTCGTCACCTCCCGCCTGGACTACTGTAATGCTCTCTACATGGGGCTTCCCTTGAGGAGCACTCGGAGGCTCCAGCTAGNCTTCAAAGCGCTCCATGGCATCGGACCTGGATATCTCCGAGACCGCCTTCTGCCTCAGAGTGCCTCCCATCGGCCGGTACGCTCCCACAGAGTGGGTCTCCTCAGGGTGCCGTCAGCCAGACAGTGCCGGCTGGCGACTCCCAGGGGGAGGGCCTTTTCGGTGGGAGCTCCCACCCTCTGGAATGAACTACCCCCAGAGATCCGGGTGATCCCGGATCTCCCTTCCTTCCGCCGCGCCCTTAAGACATGGCTATTTCAACAAGCAGGACTGGCCTAGGGGGAGATTTTTAGCGGGGTTTTGAAAACAATTTTAAATTGATACAGGCCAAATCTAATATTTCATTTTAATTACGTTTTTTAAATTGGGGTATTTTGTATTTGTTTTTATCAGGCTGTCAGCCGCCCTGAGTCCGTAAGGAGAAGGGCAGGGTAAAAATTTAATTAAATAAATAAATAAATAAATAAATAATGAAGAGAAGGACTAGGGGTGACATGATAGCAGTGTTCCAATATCTCAGGGGCTGCCACAAAGAAGAGGGAGTCAAGTTATTCTCCAAAGCACCTGAAGGCAGGACAAGAAGCAACGGATGGAAACTAACCAAAGAGAGAAGCAACCTAGAACTAAGGAGAAATTTTCTGACAGAACAATTAATCAGTGGAACAACCTGCCTCCATAAGTTAAAAACTGGAAGTTTTTAAGAAGAGACTGGACAATCATTTGTCTGAAATAGTATAGGGTTTCCTGCCTGAGCAGGGGGTTGGACTAGATGACCTCCAACAGGTACCTTCCAACATTATTATTATTGTTGTTGTTGTAAATTTATTATTTTGATTTGATGTTAATCATGGTAACACAGCTGCCTTTATTCTTTTTAGAATCACAAAAATGTATAAAGAGTCAATTGTGGACTTCTCTCTGGTTCTCATATTTCCTAGAGTACAGTTTTTGCTTTGTTTTGTGCTGCTTAGAATAGAATCTAAAGTAGGGCATGCTTATTTTAATAGTATAGTTTTTTTAGATGCAGGGTTTTAAACATTAATTTTCCAAAGTCCTTTGCCTTCATAAGATGGATGATATTTATAAAGGGAGTGTGCAAATGAAGAGAAACTAAGGCAATATTAGAATACTGTTTGGGAATACTAGCACTCTTATCAAGCCATCTAACACTGCTTTATCTTGCTATTATTTCTATAAATATAAGCTTTTCCCCAATAGATCTGGATAGGCACATCAGAAATTTCTGGGTAGTTCTTGCTTTGGCAGTTTAGGCAAACCTATCTCCCAAGATATATATATTTTAGAGATGCTGAGTTCCACTTTATAGTATAGAAATTGGGGGTTCTTTTTCTCCTAGAGAGGCTATTTCTAAAACAAGCAGTGAGCAAGGTATCTAGTTACAACTGTAGTTGCTCAGTGAAGTTGAGACAGAGGCTGCTGCTGGGGTTTACTTCTGGCTGTTCAGCATACAAGAAAATTTAGTGGCTAATCAGGCAAGTTTTCATCGTTGTAGATGTGCATATGTGGGGGGAGTTCCATAAACTCTGGGTCCAGGGGATCAGATTTCATTGTGACATCATTGGTCCTTGTTTAAGCAGTGAAACAGCAAACTAATCCTTTGGAAAAGACAAACACCACCAGCCCAACTTAAGCTGAAAGAGATACTTGGAACACTGGAAGCAACCGAGCAGTGGATTTCGAATGAACTACCAGCTGTGCCCTGTCTGACATGAGGTAGGTGCCTCCAACTTCCATCAAAGCCTAAAGAGCAGAGTTGTTGCCAGATTTAAACTATGGGATATTTTGGAACTGCTGTGTTTATCTAGATCAGATTCTAGCTATCTAGGTCAGATATAAGTCTTATAATAATGAAGTATGCCCAGGGAATTACATAATGATCTCTTTTTAAATCCAGAAACTTTTCCTTGATGTTCCTTGTAGTCTGCAATAACTGCTCAGTTCCTTGAGAGTTCCTGAAATGATGTTTCTTTACATTTCTGAAGCATTTGAACTTTTGGAAAAATAAGTATTTCAGATTTGATTTCACATTTTCAATTAAATTAGATAAAGAATCTTTAGAATCCATTAAACATAAATGGGATAAACATCTGGATTATGCCAGACAGTTCTTTTTAGGGGTGAAGCTGTTAGCCTCTGAAGTTCTTATAACGTATAAGATCCTTTCCTAGTGATTTCATGGATAACTGGACTTTAAAAAATGAATTACTGTAATCAAACTTGAATGAGTAGGTTGAGAATAATGTTGATCAAAAGGTTTGATCAAGAGTCTGTTTGGAATACAGAAAATGTATCCCATTTATTCTGATCTGCACTTAGCTTCATTCTGTGATTTAACTGTGGCAAAAGAACCTTCTTAAACTCTTTTTTTATGCTAAGGTGTTAACTACAGTCCATTATATGGCATGATCAATTAGTTTCTGTCATATTACTGATATTGTTCCTTGTTTACCAATGTTAGTGACTTTCTAGCAAAAAGTTTGATATAAGCATATTTGTGATATATATAAGGACAGTTCTGTGAAGGCTTGTCTGGCAAACCAATTTAGCCCCAATGTTCAAAATTTGTGTAATTCCATGTCATTTGCTTTTTAAAAATCCAGGCAAAAGAGTGATGGATACCATTAGTGATGCTAGTATAATGGAGAAAGGAAGAGAAAAGTTCCTTACAGGCAGCCTGCCCATGACATAAAAATAGCACAATCGGACACACACTGCCATTACCCAAGGGCTCGATGTTTAGGAACAACACTTAGCTCTCTGATGTAATGTAAGAGGTGTGATTATTGCAGTCTCTGGCAAAACAGTCTTTACGAACTTGAATGAACTAGCTGAGAAAAATGGTGGATCAGGATAATGTAACACTAGATTTTCCCCAGCATGACTAGTCCCTGTTTGACCTCTGAGCCTTTGTTACAAGGGAATCCTGTGCAATAAACTTGAATGGCAATCCTGGGGATTAACAGTTCTAGCTTTATGGCAGAGAAATAGCACAGACATAAATATTGTACAAGCTTGCATTCTTGGCTAGTTTCAGCAATAGTCCATAACTACCTGCTTAACTGAGAACCAGTTTGGTGTAGTAATTAAAAGCATCAGACTAAAAACTGGGAGATTGTGAATTGTAGTCTTCTTTAGGCATAAAACTAACTGGGTGACCTTGGGTTATTTCTTGCCCTCAGCTCTAGGAAAAAAGTAATGGCAAACCACTTCTGAAATTCTTACTGAGAAATCTAGAGGGACTAGTCTAGACATTTGCCAGGAATCAACATGATCCCCTTCCCCCACTTAATAATTACCTTTTTCTGTGTTGTTCTTGCTTTGCGTACAGTCCTTGAGATATAACCAACATTTAATTTTGTCAATTAAAGAGTTCTATAATAAATTGTATTGTACTGCATGTCTTTGAGGATTTTTTATATTGACCTATCTAAACCAAAGATCCCCAATTCCAGCACTCTTAGCACAGCTTCCATAAAAAAGTATTTCTAATATTTCCAGTGTGCAAACTACTGATTACCAATGGAGAATATAAACTGTTACCTCAAGAAAATTAGTATTAAAATCGTGTGGAAAATATTTAGATCAGCGTTAGGATTAAATCAGATTTAATTCTAAATAGCATTCCAAATTCCAGCAATGAGTACCTGGGATTCTCATTCAATCTCTCTTTCTCTCTGTGCCTGTCTGTCTGTCTCTCTCCTTCTGTTCCCCCCCCAACTACCAAATTGGCTGAGCTTTAGGCAAAACACTGACATGAAGATGTCAACAAATAGGCAAATCTAGGACTTCTGTGAAGCTGGAATTTGGGGGTGGATTTATTTTAGGTCTGTTACACTTAGGTGAAAATGTACAACTGTTTTGTGTTATCTTCATCTATAACTTAGTGGAAAATTACACTAATGCTTTTCTACAGTTTGCTGTCAAGACTTGGTAGAGTGATTTCTGAATGCATGGGGAGGGGGTACAGAAAAGGGTCTTGAGGTCACTTGCAGTCAGTGGGCCAACTCTTGCCATGTACAAAACAAGAAAAGAAATCTTTCCCCTTAATTTGCAGGAGACCTCGACAGGAAAACTTCATTTTTCATGATTGTTTCTTCCAGTGCTTTTTTTGTAAAAAAAAAAAAAAAAAAAAAAAGGTGCCGGAACTCACACATGTCATACAACCTGCCTTGCCTACCCTACAAGGTTCCATCCCAAAAACGTGCCGGAACTCCATTCTGGGCGTTTTATGACAAAAAAAAAAGCCCTGGTTTCTTCAGAAATTGCAACAATGCTTATGTACCCTTTTCTGGGTTTTTCACTGATGGTTTCCTGGTCCCTGTAATTAAACCTATTGGTTAGGGCAGTAGGTTGATGTGCACAAGGAGCATTTACTGTATGCTGAGTGGGGATTCCAGTAGTTGAAGTCCACACATCTTAAAGTTGCCAAGTTTGAAAAACAATGTTCTACTCTAGACTGACATCCTTGTTATGGAAATATGTTTTGTGATCAGTGAGAAAAAGAGACATGCAGACGGTGCTTAAAACTGACAAAATTTAATTTTAAATTGAAAAGGTTAGGGGTTGAAAAATTAAGACTACTGAAAAGATACTAGATAGACTAATTGATTTTGTTAGAATTATTTCAAAAACAATACAAAACAAAATTTGTATCTCAAATTTTGTTTTGTATCATTCAGGAATAATCTGGGCCATTGAGGGAAGAGTTTAATTCAATTGCTATGTAGGAGATGCTTTAAAAAGATTAAATAAATATTAGAGGCAATCTTCTTAAATTTTTAGATAATGTAAAATAGCTGACCTAAGCACAACTCTTAACTGCACATGTATCCAACTCTGATGTGTGATTTGTCAATTTTTATTTTATGTGTTAACTATCCCTTGTACTATTTTTGCTGACTAATATTATGGTTACTGAAACTGATAAAAATGGAATGCCTTACCATGAAGTAACAAGAATATTCTATAATTATTTGTCAACTTTTATTGTCAACTATTATATGTATCCTTTCCCTTTCAAATATTTCTGAATACTGTACTTGTCTTTTTCCTTGTATTTTCTGCCCAAATAGCTCTGCTAATAATTCCAGCATATGGAGCATGTTATATAATAGTTCAGGGGAGACTGGGTTTTTGGAATTTCCTCCCTTAGGCTTCTCTCTGTACTTCAAAAGCGCACCCATGGGCCATTTGTTTTTTGCATTCTAGCTCTTCTGATCTTATTTCTCTCATGTAGCTATCGCTTCCATTTAAGATCTTGGAAAATTAGCACACTGACAACATTTGCTAGACATTTACAGGAAATCAAGCAGCTCTATCTTCCTTTTCCTTAAATTTTGGGGAAATAATTGAGGCTATGGATTGGTGAAATGAGTAATAAATGAGATGAGAGTTAAGAAATGGAAACATGATCCAAGTAAGATGCCGTACTGTTGCCTTTAGGAATTGACTGATCCAGGAAAGTATGTACAGCTTGTTCTGGATATAGGTGCTCTGTCTCCAAAAACTAATCTGGCTGCTTGAAGGCTTCCTGAATTTGACATTCCTGGATGTTGAGAAGGCCACAACAGGGGTATTTCTCCCCAGATTAGGCTGGCATGCCAGTTGGAATGAAGGCAGACTTGGCTATAGTTATGCAGTAATAACATGTAGCTCGAATTATTACGATACAGTAGAGTCTCACTGGGGCTATCTTTGTACAGTGCTCAGCTGAGAAACTGTTCAGTTAAAACAGGGAAAAATATTTTAACAAACATTTCCTATGGCGAACATATTATTCTTATACGATTCCAGCTGTATTGAATACTAATTTGTTTCTGTGGCCAATTCAAGCTGCTAACAGTACAGTCAGTGGGCTGGGACTAAAATATCCAAAAGGCAGATTTATTAAACATGTATCAGTGCTTATGCTCTGGGCAACATCTGGATGGCATTGTATTATTTTTACTGTGAAGTTGCCAGCAGCTTTACAATTTCACTAGTTTTGAAGGCTTTTTATTGTTTGTTTGTTTGGTTCCATCTCGTCCCCAAATTCTTATATATGCTTTTCTGCGGCTTTAGTTTAATTCATCTGTAAGTTACCCACACTGAAGGGTAGATAATAAACAGGTTCCCATTACACAAACTAATATCCAGAGATATTCAAGAAAAAGACATTCTAGCAGTGGTAATATTCAAAAAATTATCCTAGAAATATCAGAATTTTGTCAAAGACAACACTGAATTTATGTTGTCTTGAATAACAAATTATACAATGTCCTAATCTTATACTAATGCTTGGGAAAAATATTTCCGCTCCTGAAAAGGTATATTTGAAGTCAGGCCCATACATTTAACCTTAAATGACTAAGCTCAGTAATTTAATATTATGTAATTGGGTAATGGGAAATAGCAAGGCTGCTTTTCAAAAAAGGCAGTTATATTAAATCTCTGAAGACAATTTAATACTTCATTAAAAGAGCAACTGATCATAGCAGTAACTGCTTTTCCATTAAGAACACACATCTTGTACCAGACACATTGCCTAATAAAAAAATTAAAGAACTCCAAATTTTTAAAGAAAAACTGCCCGCCCTATTAAAAAAATGGGACATCATTGGCAGAAACAGTTACATCACATGTAATTAATCCAACATGCTGGAGGAGAGAAGCATTTTGTTCCAGGAAAAAAAGACTTGCAAAATATAAATTTGCTGGTACAATTAATGTGCAGCTTGAAAACTTTCAAGAAGCCCTTCTATTGCATGTCCTGTGTATGACATTTGTTCTTTATATTATTTTTCCATATTTATATGTGGATACATATTAAAATATTAAAAGAATTGTTTTAAATTTAACCGCTTTTTGGTGGCTGATTGAAAAACATATTTTCATTTGCTTATGGCACAATCTCACCCTCTGGTTTAGCAATAGCAAAGCTATTAAACTGAATTTGCACAACTCATTGATAGAAAAAAAATCTAAGAGCCACCTATTTGCCCATTCTGACATACAAGACAATACAGCTGACTTTTTAAAACCCCATATTAGGGGAATCTATAAAAAGTCACCATGTTCAACTCCACACCAGCTGTGTGATTACAATATAAAAAGTTGGTTAATAAGTTTTGAACCTGAATGAGGTTCCTTCAAATCATTTAGTGCCACAGATAAAAGGAGCTATAGGAATTTGACAGCTCCTCACTGATCAGCTGTCATTTAAGCAATGAACCTTGAATCCTTTTACTTACTTGAAGAGATATAAATAAAAGCATATTAGTCATATTTTCTGAACAACTTGCTTAGAAGTAATACAATAAAAACTATATTCCTATAGGTAGGTGTGCTTCTGTGTTTAAGAGAGTTCTGCAATGATTCTGTGCCCTGCTTTAGATTTCCTCACTCGAGTCTCTACCTATGGACCTGTTACTATCAACTTGAATTTAATATGGTACAAGCTAAACAAAATAAAGTAGAACAAAACTATAAATAAAAGAACCAAAATGATCACAGACATTTCTGTGTCTTATGTTCATTGTTCTTATGGTGATATTGGTATGAAACTGGAGCCCCGTGACCCTACTCAAGAACCTGTTATACCTCTTGGGCATAAATGACAATGCTTTTTGCTGTTGTGTCACCGTCATTTTTAAACAACCTGGATGGGAGGTGTATCTGCCTCCCCCAGTGGTTGATCTAAAGACTAGAATGCTTTCTTGGCAGTATAATTTGCCTGAGAGCTTCTTACATTAAGAAGAGTCAGCCTTTCTTCCTGGTCCAGAAAAATCACAATAAGGGTTTAGATCATCAATGGGAGGCATGGAAAGACTGTTCTCAAAATGTTCCAATTTAAGTATTCATTTACAGTAACTGACTGGTGAGATAATTGCTGCATCTGAATTCCTTCCCTTTTTTGCAGGCAGTGAAGACTTCATGGTTTTGAAAAGGAGCAAGTAGTGAATGCTATTCTATCACCCCAGGGATGGTGACACGCAAAGCTGACAAACGGGTGCCAAGTTCCAGTGAGCTAGTGAGAATGTCTCAACCTGCTACCTTAGCTTCTCTACACGTCATCTTTCTTATGCTATTTCTCTGCTGGGATGCACTTATTTCGGCACTGCCCATTGGTCCTGATTACTTGCAGCGTGGCTGGCAGAGGCTTCTAGAGGAAGGGGAGAGTTGTGTGGAATGTAGATTGGAAGAATGCCCTGTCCCTCGTGGTTGCCTGGCTGGAGTGGTCCTGGATGCCTGTGATTGTTGTTGGGAATGTGCAAATCTAGAGGGACAGATCTGTGACCTGGACCATACCAACCACTTCTATGGCAAGTGTGGGGATCACTTAGAGTGCCGTCTTGATTCAGAAGACCTGCAACATGGGGAAGTGCCTGAGCCCCAGTGCATTTGTCTGTCTAACCAAGCTCTTTGTGGCTCTGACGGCAAAACGTATACTCAGATCTGCAAATTCCAAGAGGTGTTTAATTCCAACCCTGAGGCTAATCTCACTGTAGCTCATGAAGGACCCTGTGAATCAGGTAAGGTCCATTGTAGGCTCCACTTCGTCAATTTCTGTGTGAGTCCAGAAAGGACTTATTTTAAATGTTTTGAAAATAAAATAAATGGGAAGCAACGATTCTAAGCTCTTATATTTTCAAAATGAAAAATGTACGGTGAAGTAAATAATCTGACAGTTTCAAATTGGGTAAGAGGGATTGGTCAAAACAACCTGGTTTCAGTAATTTTGCAGTTCTCAGAAGTGTTTTTTTTTCACAAAATCTGCTATCTAGTCCTAACTCTGGTACCAAAGATTGAATAAGGGGTTTTCTGCATGTACTGCCATTTATCTACCATCTTTCTCTACAAGGACTGAACATATTCCTTAATAGTACACAGTCAGTGTGTATCTATTGTTTCTATGGAGTGTTGCAATCATAAAGATTTTAAAAAGAATTAAATAATTGAAGATAAGGAATCAATGCCAATTGATGAATTCACCCAAGTAAAACAGTCCTCAGCATTAAGATGACAGACCATTACTTTCCAGAGCTAGACAAACCCAAGCAATTGTATATAAAAGTAATTGCTAGAGTCAAGGTAAGTGACAGAGATATTTCATGTGTAACAGACATATATTAGGGATATGGAATATCACCTGGCATACACATTTGTCTACACTGATATATTGTTCCAGGAATTCATAATATAGCAGAACTTGGTCAATCAAACCAGACTAGATGTTGTTCTAGATGTCTGCTACTAAAGCAGCATTTACATATTACACATCTCTTCAGTAATAACTGTACAGTAATGACTGCTACAAGCTAAGTTACTTTGTGGCTTAGTATCCCATTTCTTCTCACCAAATATGAAGTTACCAATGATAAAAAATATGTACAAATTCTCCAAAGATACTGAGATGATACTATTACAAACTGGTAATAAGCAGGAGCTAGACCTGCAAGTGCTCTAAGGAACTGTCTCTAATTTGATCTCCTTATTGCAAGGAAAGGGGATATCCTGAAACAGAAGAATAAACTAGGATTCCATATTGATGGTGGTAATGAAAAACAAATTTAGGCTGGTTGTGGAGAAACAGAAAAGAATGTGGAGAGACAGGATAGTGACACTGGAAGAGTTTCTAATATTTGGTCTAATATGTGGTCTCACAAAGTTACTCATATTATTGAAAAAAAAACACTGGTAGATTAGAAGCTGCTTTCTAACAAAGCATAAATTATTAATCTAGCTTGGCATCTAATATCTAACTGGCAGGGCATGCTGAGGTAAAAATCTACAGTATCTCATTGCTACTGATCTTTGTAAAAAACAGAACAAAACTCTGGAGGTTCCAGAGCTTGAATAAAAATCATTCTGTATGCAGAGCTTGTGCTCTACCTACCAGCCAGCTACAGTCACTCCCCAGGCATCAAACCTTAAAATAAGAGGAAAAGTGAGTAGCTGGAAAGCTTAAATCAAATCCAAGCATTTGACAATAAAGCAAGCTGATTAGCAGCTGCCACAAAGCTGTCATGTTTCCCCAGCAACAGGAGGCAGCAGCAACATCCCTAGAAAGCATTTCATTTAAACGACTGCGACAAAGCACCGGACCACCGTTTAGGGGCCAAGGGCCCTTGTTCACAGATGTGCCATGATGATGCAAATATATCCTTTATAACAGCTGCTGTTGGCCTGGCAAAGCAGCACTTTTTAGCTCAATCATAAGAGGGTTTCCGCTGAAAGGAAATTGAGAGTCTAGTGCAATAGTTCATTTATTTATTTTATTTATATGACCATCCATCTCAAACATATGAGTCTAGGCAGTGATCAAAAAATAAAAGGTAAAATACCATAAAGATAATAAAAAAACAAATATAGGAGCTGAGATTAAATAAAACCACAACGTACTTCATCAATATAATAGGTTTAACCACATAGCTTGAGCCCTAGGGTTAGTTATAAGCCAGGTTTTTAAGGCCTTCTTGAAAGCTTATAGGGTAGGGGCAGGCCTAATCTACAGAGGAAGGATATTCCAGAGGGCAAGCATTACAATAGAAAAGGCATTCCTCTATGGACCCACCTGATGACTTTCCCTAGTGGATGGGACCTAGAACTAGCCTTTCCTGTTGGACCTCATGAGACAGGTGAGGAGAGACAGTCCTGAAAGTAACCTGGTCCCATGCCCATGCCATTATTAAAAGTTTAGATGTTACAGAAAAAAATAAAAATAAGACGGGCCTTGACTATAAGCTTACTATCAAAAGGTGAAAATGATTTAGTCACCATATGATTAAAGGATCTCTTGAAATGTGTACTAAATGTAACTTGTAGGAAGCATCATCTCTAAAATTGATCAGAAAAGATAATACCTTCATGGACAAATAATGTAGAGATTCTTGGCTTCTCAGATATTTTTTTGGCCTTTCCTAGAGCCCCGTATTATATCTCCTCCTTATGATATCTGGAACACCACTGGGCAAGATGTAATCTTTGGCTGTGAAGTCTTTGCATTTCCCATGGCATCTATTGAATGGAGGAAAGAGGGTCTGGATATGCTGCTTCCTGGAGATGACCCCCACATTTCAGTTCAGGTAACCCTGAAAATCTAGTGTGCCCTCAGATAGTGGTTATTTGTGTGTGTGGGCAATAAGGTTTTCCCTTTAACTTTTTGTATATGGTCCTAAAGTGTCACTATTTGTATTTAATTATTTTGTTAATTTTATTCCCACTTTCCCCCTAGAAGCTCAAAATGGCATATTTAGTATTGACTTCTTTTTTTGTTCCAACAACAACACTGTGGATGAAGTTTGGCTGAGAGAGAGGGACAGGTCCAAGTCATCAACTGAGCTTTCATTATTGAGGGTGGGCTTGAACCTGAATCTCCTAAATAAGAACATCAAATTGGCTCTCCAAATTCTTCAGATCTTCTATCCTATACATTGCTTGCTATACATTTACAACTTCTGCTTGCTTAACAAAAGATCGACTTGCTTAACATATGACAGCCAGCTTGTGACATGTGCAGATTTCTTTATATAACCTTGTGTGGTTTTGTTGTTGTTGTTGTTGTTTTGCTTTGTTTTATTTTTGGTGCTGCTAAAAATACAGTTAACCCATGAACATGTCTCCATTTTTCTTTTGTCTTTCTTACTGCAAGCCTTAATTACCATTCCATTTTTATTGCTTGTTCTCTTGCTGGGCACAATTGCACACATTTGCATTAGCAATTGGAAATATTGTGGTGATCTTTGAATGTTCCTAACATGGATCTTCACAGAGGTTAACAAGCTTGGGAAGCCAGCCTAAAACAGAACTTAAAAGGCTGCAAAGTACTTAGTGTTACACCCTTCCATTTAGAGGGTGTGTGAGGAGATCCTAAGAATCATTTCTGGAAACTAAAATTTCTACTATTATATGGAATGTTTGGGTGGGGTAAAAGCATATGTCAAGTCACAGTCTGGTTAGGGGGCTGGGATAGTTCCATGTTATTTATGTCAAGGGAAACAGTAGGATAATATTTGCGATAGCATCTATCATTTAGAATAAGAGATGTTTTTATTCCTGGCATTGTTGCATCACACTTCAACTACCCCCTTGGCATAAATACAGTCATAGTGGTCCAAGAAAACAGATGTGGAAAATACAACCAAACAAATTCAGCTGGAACCAGGAATTGCTTTCCTACAAGAAAAAGCAAAATCAATGGGGAAATCTCCAGAGAGAATGTCTGCTGTTATGAGTTAATTAAAAATAGTCTGGGAGAATACGTTGCATCAGAAATGTTCAGTGGAAGAATAGATATTAAGCAAGATTACCAAGGTCCTAATGCACTGCTTAATTTGTATGCAGTATGGGATTTGGAGACCCTTTTTTAGACAGTGGGATTTTAAGAATGTTATCCTACATACATTTATCTTAAATGAAGTGTAGGAAAAAGAACTATTGTACAGGCATATGGGCCCTCCAGGCTTTACAAAAGATTTGACTTTCACATACAAACAGTTCCACCCTATCATTATGTATTTATCATTGTCCTCATGCAATTTCTTTTGCATAATTGCTTTTCTTGCATGTATATAAATCTTCACACTTGCAATTGTTCATATGAAGTTTCCTCACTTAGAGATGTTAATCCAACCAATAGTTGGAGAAGGTAAAGATGTATGAGCTATGTCAAGGGACAGTGTGACTTGGAGCTGTTATGTGAGGGTAAAGATTGTTTTGCTAATAGTGGTGAAGTAATTAAAATGTTGGATGCTGATCAACGTTCTCTCTCCTGTGTTTCTGTTGGCAGATATTCTAAAATCCCTTTAGTTGTGTCCATTTGAACTGGAGACTAAAACAATGCAACATACTAGCATCTTTTATAAGGATCTCCATAAAAATATGCCATGGAGTATGCCATGCCAATACTGAGGCAGAATGGTTGAGTTTTATGTCAGGCTGTTACTTTATGAGATGAAATATCTTATTAGCCACATAATAGCCAGTTTTTGTATAGTTGCAGTGAAAAAAGGCTGATCATGCCATTTTATTGATTCATGTATAAATGTTAAATCTGACTCATTCAGCAAGTCAAAGACTTTGACTTTTGCTAACAGGAGTTTGCTGGCAGAGTTTGGCAGAAGAGTTTCTAATAAATTTTCTCTGGAAGCTGAAAGTTTGTACTTAAGGTAACTTGAGAACCGGAAAAAGGTGAAAATACAAGCCTTTCTCCTAGTGCTGACCCCCCCCACACACACACACAGCACCCTGGCAAAGATGAGTGGATAGAAGCCTGTAGTTATAACCTGGAGTGCTTGTGGTATGTTTGTGTACCTACTTGAGAGAATCATAACCTATATTCAGAGAAGGTCCAGGCTTGTGTACTTCTTGAGGAAAAAGTGAAGATTGGAGCAATAAGGGGGCACTTCAGCTGATGAGAAAGAATTTATCAGATCATAGTAAAGAGACACTACAATGGAAACTGATAGTAGAATCAACCCTCTATAAGGAAGAAACTCAAATGAAGAAGTTATCATGGCATGATTTCACAATTCCTCCTCTGGTCCAGCCCCTGCCAAAATATCACACATTTTAGAATCTGTTTCAATTTTGCAGTGCTATTAGATAACGAAATGGCTATTCCAAGGCAGTTTTTTTATCTGTCAATTGATTATGCAACATCCTTGTTTTTGGGTGCAGTTCACTGCTCTGACCTGACAGTGAAAGGAAAAATCTGGATATAGGCATTCACACAGAGACATGGATTCCCTGTATCCTGTTTACAGAGAAGACTAAGAAATGAAGACAGTATGTGGGCAACTTCCAAACTTTCTCATTTAGGTTTTAAAAGAAGAAAGAGAACATATACTGCTGCTAGTTCCATCTGTAAATAATTTGGATTATTTTCCACTATGGAAAGAACAGCAACATAGATTGGTATTTTACATCAGTCTGAAATGTCTAGCACATGCTCAAGTACAAAATACATATGCATGTTATGTGCAAATAGAATTAAATGCATGCTTCTTTGAAAACTTAAGTTCCATATGCATTATGTATGTGTAATCACACACCCACAATGTGCTTTGGAATCAGGCTAAAAAAAGGGTCAAAAATAGAATGGAATCCAACACTTTCCAAATATATATGGTGATGGGATGAGCTGTTTTCCCTAACTAGTGGGAATACGAAAAGAGAAAGGGCTGAAAACTCTCCATAAACTCAAAATAATCCCCAGATAGTGTTGCAAATTGTCATCTGAGTCATCTCACTAAACTCTGCCCTAGAGATATCCAAATACAAGATATTGTAAACCAAATTTCAAAGTCAGTGTTAAATATATGACCATGAATTTAATAGTTAAACATATTTTTCTATTGTAGTGCCCGCCCTTCATACCAATCTGCCTCTGAGATTCAGATGGTCCTAATTCACTTAGCTTGGAGGAAAACTTTAAAAACGTGGATTTTACTCCAGGGTTAATCTAAAATGATAGATGAATCCATCTTCTGGGAAGTGGAGTATGTATGATAGGTGTAATATGTTATCTGATGTGTTGGTAATCAATTTCATTTCTTTTGTTGATATAAGGTGGTTTTTTTTACTTGCAATATGATTGGGAATTTTTATTTGATGTATACTACATAGAGTTAGGTGGCTATATAAATCTTCTAAATACTGTGTAGTATGATGATGGAGACTTTCTCAGATAAAATGCTCAGCATCATAGTCCTGCCAAAAGACTGATAATATGTTTGATATTCTAGGTTTGCAGCTTTTTGAACTCAGAAAAATGCCAAATGTATTTTTTGAGATATACTGATTAAAAGCATGCATTTGCACAAATGAGTAGATGTGATTGTGTAAAACAATATGATTCAGGGAGCTGTGATGAAGCCAACACTTAATCCTACATGAGTTACCCCAAAGGTGCTTTTTTCACGAGGCAACTGGGCTTTCTTGTTTTTCTTTTTTGAAGATGTTTTGCTTCTCATCCAAAAAGCTTCTTCTGACTGAATGGTGGGGAATGCAGAATTTATATCATTGTCTGCAAGGAGTATAATTCCTATTATTCCCTACATCCAGTCAGAGTTGAAGAAGCTTCTTGGATGAGAAGCGAAAAGAAAGAAAAACAAGAAAGTCCAGTTATCTCGTGAAAAAAAGCACCTTTGGGACAACCATGACCTGGATGAGTTATATTTTAGAATATTAAGCAATGAACTATTTATGTTACATGTGGATTATATAGCTTTCTGTGAAAATTCACAGATACATGATTCCTTTTTCATGTGTAACAAAAGAATAACATAAACAAGCATAATGTTACAAATAAACAAAAGAAGATGAACCAAAAAAAATAAAGCATGGGAAAAATAAAGGAAAACATTTAACTTATTTTAAAGTTAAATTATGTTTAAATTCAAAATTAAAGTTATATGAATTTAGATATGGGAAACTTGCAAGTAATTTGTATTTATTACTTTGTCTTTTGGCACGTATGTGTCACTCCAGTTCAGAAACTCTGAGTGGTTTATAACAACCAAATACAAAGTAGGATAAAAGCAATAGAAAGAAACACAATACAGCTCATAACATCCAGCCTAGAGGATCTGCAAATTGGACATTCTTTCATCAAACTGCTCCAGAAGGAGTGTCTTTAAATATCTTCATAGCTAATGAAGAGGGAGTGGCCTAATATCTGATGTAGGCTGTTCTAGAAGAGGGGGCTATCACTGAAAACTTTTGACAAAGGGATTTCTGCATTGCTGGAGGGATTCTCAGCAAGCCTTTGCTTGTGATCTCATCAGTTGAGCAAATTCAACCCAGAGCAGGGGGTTTCACAAATATCCAGATCCTAAGCCAAATGGAGTTAATTCAGCAAAATGCTTTTTAAATGTACTGGATCCCTCAGAAGATGTATAGTAAGGATTGTTTTTAATTTCTGTATGTTTTCATGATGTTATAGCTATATGGATGCAGGAAGGCAGAGCTTTGCCTTCCGCACCTGATTTTGCCCTCCTGGGGGGCCTAAAAGGGCCTAAAGTCGCCCCAAAGAGGCGATGAAGAAGGAGGGGTGACTCATTGATCATGGAGAGACAACAGTCTTTTCATTTGATCCGAGGAAAGCCCTCCAAACCGGCAGGGGAAAGACTGGCTACAGCTCTGTGGCCAGCCTCCAGCTACTGACAGCTGAAGAAACAAAGCACTAATTAGCAGTTCGTAAACAGCGTGTTTGGAACTGGGTGAGAATATTGATCCTTTCTTTACTATTTTTACCTGAATTTCCTGCAAAAGGCTCCCAAGAAGCCAAAACCTTCCGAATGTGAGAAGGAAGGGGACTGTAGCCCCACCCTTCCAGAGAAATTGAAGTGGCATTTTAATTTTTTTCATGGGGGACAGAAATATATAATACTGAAATGGAAACAATATAAAGCTACAGCTTTGACAAATTTGAAAACTGAAATAACTGTCAAGATTTTCTCTTTGAAAAAATATTAGGGTGAAATATAAGAAATCAACCTTCTGTTTTGAGAGTGGAAAATGGATATAGAATGACATCTAGTGATGGATTAGAGAATAGCACTACAACTGAAAGGACTGATGCTGACCTGGTAAGAAGCTTAGAAACAGAAAATAACCTTGCTTCTAGAATGGCTGCTTGGTGACTCCTAGCTTAACAGAGAACAGCTGGCAACAGAGCAAAATATTTTGACATACTTATCACCCTGACCTTCATGGACTATAAATACCTACTGATCTATGACTTTTAATCTCAAGAACTATTTGGAGAAAAAGAAAAAATGGATTTTTGGCTACATTAGGCTGGGAGAGAGCTTTGGATTGTTTTTAGGGTTGTTGAATATTTTGAACACTTTGAATACTGTGGATTGCAACCTGGCCTGACTGACAATTTTTGGATGCCGGAGCAGAAGGACTATTACAAAACATTGCTTTTAGTGCTGGACTCATATCTTGGAACCTATTGTATTATAAAGGCTATATATAGAGACCAGAAAAACTAGATGAAACTTTTATCTATTGTCATCAGGATTGGTGATATTAGATAAGACTTGTATTTGGAGATCACAACAGTTCTGACAGACTATCTGGAGGGGGGAAACAAAAAGGAGGCCTCATACCCAGCCAAAAGTGGTGGGAAAACATACTCAACACCTCCATTTGAAGCCCCCAGCCAGGTTTATCAAGGATCTGCAGGAGTGATGCCTCAAGAAAAAACAAACACTTTTCAGAAGGAGATATATTCTATGCTACAATTAATTCACCAGACAATTGTTTCACATAAAGAAGACACAAGAAGAAATTGTGATGAGATTAAAAACAATTTAGTTAACATAAATGAGTAAATTTCTTATTTAAATCTATAACTAGAAAGTTCCCAGACAATGACTGCAAAGTATGAACAAACAACCCAAAAAATAGAAGATGAATCAGAGGAAATTGATCCGGAAGACATAAAAGAAAGGAAATACAGACTGCCACAGACAAATAAAATCTTGCAAGACCCAGCTATAACCATGAAAATGGAAAAGATAACTTACCTCCTAGATCTGCAAAATACACTTGAGGACAAGAAAGAAGATTTTAAAAAATGGATTATAGAGCTGTTTGGGGAAATGCAAGAAATTGGGAGACAAAAATGAAAAGAGAAGCTGAGGGAGAAGGAAAGTGGGAGTTGCTTAAGGAATATACGGGTAAATGAGCAGAATTCCCCCTCAAAATTACCTTACATAAATTGTCCTTCTCATTCCAAGCAACTTTCACAAAAATAAAGGAAAAATTCTTTGGCGATTTAATTGCCTTGGCCTGGAAAGCTATTTGGCAAAGGAAGAAAGCTAGAGTTAGACTTAAAAAACAGAAGATTTGATTTATCAGAGGGGACATTATATGATTAAACGTGTTTGAATAAGATTAAAAGAATGGATAACCCTTGGATATAATTAGACTTTTATAATAAGAAAGATATGATTTATAATTAGAATAGCACTTTTTTATATGGGAAATATAAAAATATGAGGATGGCTTATATAAATGAAACTCTTAGGTATATAAATGTAACTAATCTTGAGAAAATTATAACTGACAAAGATATTCTGAATATTGATGGGAAATTAAACTTAAATAAGAATATGAAAAACAGGATATTGATTTAATAAGGAGATTTTAATTGCAAATACATTTGAAATATAAATTGGTTAGAAAAGAGTTTATAAACTGATATTGTTATTTGTATAACACTAGAAAATATGATGAGGATGTTTATATTCAATTTTGTATGTATTAATAATAGCAAGAATTGTATTTGCATAGTGTTGGGAAAATGAAAACAATTTGGGAAGAAAAGAGGATCAGGGGAAAAACACTGGCTTGTGCTGATTGATATTGAAGAAGTTAATGTTAAATATGTGAACCTAGACAACACCTTGTTTACCAAACACTAAAAATTGTAATTGTTAAAAATCAATACAATATTTTTTTTTAAAAAGGAAGTATGTTTTGGACCTGCTCTACAGTATTCCTGGTTGCTTTAATGTTTAGAGTGCTCAGAAAAGAAATGAGTCAAAGATGTTGAATATGAATTATTGTACATTCTGGAAAAAAATGAGGAGTTTGGATTTATCATGCATGGGCAGTGGTTAAGAGTAGTGAATGATTCTAGTGTATCGAACTTAAATCCAAGATAGAACATATCCCTATATTTTCTACTGACTACGGGGAAAATGCATCAATATGATTCTGCGTAGTGAAGTTTTAAGTTGTTTGAAAATTGACACCATCTGATATTTACTGTAATTATTCTATTATGTATTTATTAAGGTAAAGATCTTCTATACCAGAGCCAATGCAGAGTAGTTGTAGCCATTTTATCTATGGAAGTCAGTGGGTGACTTAAGCCTAGTTTCTCTCAGGCAAACCTACCTGTCGAAATTGTGTTACAGTGATGGAGAAAAACAGCAGGAGAGTCATAAATAAATCCCAGAATAAAGTTTTTAAAAAGATTTTTACCCAATGGAAATATTTATAGAGAGAGATTTAAATGTGTCTTATTTTAATTGGCTGTAGTTTAGGGGAGGTCCTCAGAAGTATGAGGTAACCAGCTGGCTTCAAATCCAAGCTGTGCGGTTGACTGATGAAGGAAGGTATCATTGCTATGCAAGGAACAGTGTTGGACAAGTGGCAGCTCCTGCCAGCCTTATGGTTCTCACTCCTGGTAAGTAAAAACTAGCCTTAAATCATTTCTTTAGCCAACTTATTTGTCTCAATAGTTGGTTAGTACCCACATGTTTCTTCTATGTATATTCAGGAAGCTGCTAACATCTACCTAGCCATTACTTCTTATTTTATATATCTTTCCAAATCTGAAAATTTGGAAATCTTTCTCTAATTTCACCAAGTAAATTATTTATTTTTGTGCCCCATAAAATGCTGCTGATATAAAAAAAAATATAAATAGTGTTTTTTAAAGAAATGGAATTATATTTCTTCTTTGCATTTCAAACAGTACTTTGTAAATGCATGGCATTGCCATCAAAATAGTAGCCTTTGTCCCACTGTTAGCAAAAGGATAGATGACTTCCTCCAGAAGTTTTGGAGTTCAGCTGCTATCAGATTCCACTAGTGTGGTCACTGCAAATTATCTGAAACATCTGCAATCAATATGCTAATTGCCTGACAAATTGTTTAACAGTTACAACTATGCTGATAGACTGTAAAATTCATAGACAGCACCCAATATCCAGTTAACATGATTTATTATATATTATTTTTTGGAAATGTAATTATTTTAGTCAACTATTCTTAGCAGTAGATAAAAGAGGACAGTAACTCATTTCAGATGGTAACCATATGCTTTGTGTCCTATACTTGCAGATCAACTGAATTTAACTTCATTGGCTCTGCCCAAGAGGCCCAACCTGGGATCAAATGATGACTGGGAGAGTGATGAATCATATGATTATTACTGAAAAGGTCATACTGTATATAGAATAGCACTCAGAATGCAGGGTCATTTGTATTTTTTCCCATTTGAACATTTATTTCATCATCAACTGGTGCCCCAGTTCTAGAGAATAATAATTAATATGGAAACTCTAATGCAGTGGTGTCAAACTGCCGGCCCGTGGGCCGCTTTCATCATACTGGAGCCGCGCCCACCCCATTGCCGGCAACGGCAAAAAAGTTCCGATACGTTGCGCGATGTCACATGACGTCGCAAGTTTGACATGTCTGCTCTAAGGTGATTTTAAGGAAGCCAAAGGAAATTTTTCTATGGAGAACTTTAGTACAGTATAAGTTAATTCTGGGTAGACAAAATCAATATACTTAATTGTATGACCTATCTCTGGATGACAAGTACATCAAAGCAGGTAGAAGAGAAGAAGTATTTGTATTTAACTAATGCAAATCAAATGGACATTAAAAAGGATTTTGATTAGCTTCTGGGAGAGTATAATTTCATTGATTTGATGCATCACATTCACAATTGTTCCTTTTCTAATTGCTCAGAGATTAGACAACATTGATGGATATAATTCAAGTAGCAGAGATCGTGGAGAAAAAAAGAAGCCTCTTTTTTTTTAATGGGAAGCCTAAGAGCCAAGCCTAAGAACTAAAATCTCTAGCAAAATTTAACTAATTGTTTGGTACACTCAAGAATTTAAAGGAGGAAAGATTAGATCAGCAGAGAAGGAAACTGCTAAACAAGTTTGGGAACAGCTTTTAAAATGGAAACCAGATTTCAAAGTGTGCCAAAATACATACTGTATATAAACTGGATGATAGGTGCAGTATATTATTTGGCGAGGCCTATGTTGTCACCACTTTGGGTTTCCTCCTTGCAGAAAGAAGAATGAATGTTAATTAAAAAGTGCTGATCAAAGAGACCACAACCGAAGTACTACAAAAATAGTAATACTGGTCAGTGTCTCTATTGTGAATTTAACTATTCTTCAGCTTCACTGCTAACTGGAATTCATAGTATGTGCTACTTTGTTTTTCAAGTTTTTCTTTTTTCCCCCAAAGCCTGGAAGCCTACATTTACTCACCATGTATGAAAAAAAATTGTCTCAAGGGTTTGTTTCAGATCTGAAATCTGGAAAGACATCCAGAAAAACCTAAAATGAAATGAGCATGAATGACTCGATTTCGATTAGGACCTAAATATATCTGATCATGATAAGCCACACAAAGCTATAAATGGTGAAACAGTGAATGTAGCATTTGAATGTTGGAATTTAAGGTATGACAGCTGCATTGATCTGTTCAGCTACCAAAATAAATAGGTGACATTGAGCTAATTATTCTGTCTAACCTATCTTATTTTTTGTATTGCTGGCAGAATTAAAACAGGCAGGGTGTATGGGCAACCAATCACCTTGACTTAAGATTATATATTACTTGTATAATGGCTAAAATACATAAAAATAATAACTAATGAGTGCTCAACAAAACAGCACTTTTGGATGTTCAGCTTGGTCTCTCTCTATCCTACTCAAAAAGTCCTGTTCCATTAGTTCTGGATGCTTTTTCCCCCATGTTGTTTTCTCTATCTTTATTCATGTAAAAATGTATGAACTCACCTAATTCACAAAATCAAAGACAGTTTACAAACAATAAATAATAGCTACAAATAATACTCCAGTTACATAAACTAAAAGCATCCTATCATGATTCTGACCCAAGTACGCTGCAAAATAGAAAGGTCTTAAATGCCTTCTTATGGGCTGCAAACTTAGGAGCTCCATAGACATTAGAAGTCACACACCCACATCTCCCCCCCACACCAATAACTTCATATCATATGGGAAAGAGACTCTTAGCATCTCCTCCTGAAAACATGCATGGGACAGGTCTTTGGGGGAAGATAATCCTCTAAGTACTCAGTGGCCACGCCGTGTAGGGCTTTGTTGAATGCAGAAGCAAACTGGTAACCAATGCAGTAATACTAGAATTGGTGTATTCCTGCTAAATCCCTTAATACTTTTTAGCAGATGTACCATAGCATTCTGGACCAATTGTAGCTTCTGAATTTTCTGCAGACTGGTCTCATATAGAATGCATTGCAGTGGTCTAGCTCTGTAGTGATGACAGCCACTCAGTCTAGAAAAAGTTGCAATTGTTATTGGGTGAAGGCATCCGGGCTGTAGCATCTATCTTGAGTTCTTGAATTCCAGAACACCCACCTCCATATCTAGGAACCTGCTTTTTCAAGAGAAGTGTAATCCTATCCACAGCCAATGGTAGAACAAGAATTTAGCTACATAGGTCAGGCACTGAAAACAGTGTCTTGCTAAGATTTATTTTGAATCTGGGCTCATTCACATTATCATAGCCTCTTGGCATCAGGCCAGGATTTTGATTGCAACCACAACCTAGCCTAGACATGCAATTACTGCTCAGTATCATTAGCACAAAGATTATATTTCACATAAAGTGATGTAAAGCCCCCATTGATTCAAATAGATGCTAAATAGTACATGAGGAGAACAGAACCCAGACATCTCACAATGGAGCAAATATAGATATGATCGTTGTACCCCTATGCACAAAAATGGAGATTGCCCATTAAGGAAGAAGCAGAAACACTGTGAAACAGTGCCTCCAGTCCCCAATTTGGCAAGCTGTGATAGACAATCCCCAGTCTGGTAAGCACGGGTCCTATCTACAGGCACTAGGATATACTGTATGCCACAGAGGACCCAGGTTACATCCTTCCTCTCCATAAACTCAAAATAATCCCCAGATAGTGTTGCAAATTGTCATCCGAGTCATCTCACTAAACTCTGCCCTAGAGATATCCAAATACAAGATATTGTAAACCATTTTATCTGTTTAAAAAGCTCATAAATCTGTCAGAGTGTCCTATTGGAGGATGTTTCCCCTGCCTTCTTTTCCAGAAGAAAGTTGGGCATGAGTTGACAGATATGAATATGCAGACATACTGTAAAAAACATAAGCATGCTTTGCCAGTCTTATTATCATAGTATTTCTTCCCACCTTCGTATATGTGGAGCAATTTGATCATTTATTCCTCCTTTTAAATTTTCCTAGCTACGATATATGGTTTCTTAAACTATTTTCTCAATGTGATTCAGCTCTTAGCCTCCACCTCAGCACTAGTGATCCTGCACGTGCCCAAAGTCAGGAGTGAGAAACTCTGGCTTGCTCTTGACTTATAAATCTTATATTATACTGTCTGTGTGGGTGAGAAAACATGGTCATTGGTCTGTGTTATGTATGAAAATGGCTGTCTGTATAAATGAATTGGTTGTTCTGCATTATGTTTAGAATAGGTGTTTGGATGTATTTATATGTTCTATGTATATATAAAAGATAATGGGTTGGCCTGCCAACTTTCTTTTTGATTCCACTTATTTTTGTTCTACAATCCCTGGACTCTGCTTGGCTCCTGACATAAGATCCAGCCATCCTGAACAATTCTGACCATTTTAAAGTGAAAGCACCACTTCTGTCTTAATAATGGACTAACCTGTGTTTTATACATATAATGCAGACACGATAAGAATTTTGTCTTGAAACAACAAATGTGAGCCTGATTCATGCAACATATTCAGTACACCCATGATCTGATCGGTTTACTTGAGGATGGATGGCGTGTGAATTCAGTAATTGTTATTTATGATTTGGCATGATTTATGATTTAGCATATAATACAAACCCAGTCAGTTGTGGACTCTTCAAGAAATCATGAGTAGATATCATGTGTAGACAGTGAAGTATAATAGCTGTACAACGATGCAAAACCACTGCACTTCACTTTCCATATGGGACTGGATAATAGTATAAAAAGTAAGTATTAAAAGTATAGCCTCCTAAAATATAGCCTCCAAAAAGAATAGTAGGTATTTGTTTATGACCTTCTGAGGTCAGAACATTGTATCTTCTTTTTTATCCTGGAAGCTATTTTCTCATTCTTCATGCAAGAAGACTTAATAAACAGCTTCATTCATGCTGCTGCACGTGATTAAACATGATGAAACAGGTACAGAATAGGTAGTACTTGCTCAATAGCAGTAACTGCAAGAGGGATCTAGAAATCCTAGTGGACAACTGCTTAAATATGAGCCAGAAGTGTGCGGCAGCTGCCAAAAAAGCCAATGCAATCCTAGGTTGCATTAACAGAGGGATAGAACCAAGATCACATGAAGTGTTGATATCACTTTATAATGCCTTCGTAAGACTGCCTTTGGAATATTGCATCCAGTTTTGGTCACCATGATATAAAAAAATATATTGTGGCTCTAGAAAGAGTGCAGAGAACAGCAACAAAAATGATTAGGGGGTCTCTTGCTTGAGCAGGACTAGAAGACCTCCAAATTCCTTCCAACTCTGTTATTTTATTCCGTTTTTCTTTGGAATAATTTTCAAAGCAGGCACATTATGGCCACCAGAAGTGATCTACACCGTGTTGTTTAGGTATCAGTCAAGAGGCTTAAATAATTTCATACCAGCTTTGTTGATGGTACCCAAATCTATTCTGTAATCGCCTCTAGAGAATAGCTCAGCGATGGAATGCAGGCTCAAGAATTAGCTCAATACCCACATTATAATTTTGGTCTAGGGCTTTTTTAAGCTCACAGCATAGCAGGAAGCCTGTGTTGCTGATACACACTAATTTTTCCAAGCCTTTCTGCAGAGTACACCCATCTTCTATCTCTAGTCTTTACGATTGCAGAGCTTTAGCCAGCACTTCTCTGACCTAAACTTGCATTTTTTTTTCTAATTGTCCAGCTGAATTGAAAATATTAGTGCTGTTACAAAATATAACAAATTGTATTTTCTGAAACATTGATAAACAATCCTGGTTAATCAAAAGAAGACATTTTAAAACTTTCCTAGTCTGCTTTTAACTTTCAAAGGTTTTCTCTGGTAAGAAAGAAAGAAAGAAAGAAAGAAAGAAAGGAAGGAAGGAAGGAAGGAAGGAAGGAAGGAAGGAAGGAAGGAAGGAAGGAAGGAAGGAAGGAAGGAAGGAAGGAAGGAATTTAAAGGCTAAGTGCACTTCTTTTCTGATTGTCACAACTTAGAAATCTTTAGACAAAGCTATAGTTTCTGGGTACCAGATGTGTGCGGCAGCTGCCAAAAAAGCCAATGCAATCCTAGGCTGCATTAGCAGAAGGATAGAACCAAGATCACATGAAGTGTTGATATCACTTTATAATGCCTTCGTAAGGCTGCCTTTGGAATATTGCATCCAGTTTTGGTCACCATGATATAAAAAAAGATGTTGTGGCTCTAGAAAGAATGCAGAGAACAGCAACAAAAATGATTAGGGGGGTCTCTTGCTTGAGCAGGACTAGAAGACCTCCAAATTCCTTCCGACTCTGTTATTTTATTATTCTGTTTTTCTTTGGAATAATTTTCAATTGAAAACATCTTAGTTAAAAAAAATCTGGTGGACAATCTGTTGCTTGAACCAGGATCAGCAAACAATAGAAGAACAGCATTGTCTCTTGATAGGATCCATATGGGTTCCTTTGATTCTTGGAAATTGGTTGTTTTCAAGTCTGGGAGCAATTAATCATGTTATAAATGGGGTTCTGACACATAAACACCATTTATGCCTAGTGAGCAGAATATAAATGTGAAAGGCTTAAACAGCCATCTGATGGGCAGTACAGTTATGCACAACATTTTACTGTATGTATACATATGGCTATTTCTATGAGACAGAAGCTACATGATAATACATTGAAGAGTGTGATTGTATGTGATTTACTTCAGCCCTATTATGAATACGCCTGTAAGGACTGCATACAAATTCTACTGTATATATACAATTCTTCACCATTCAACTATCCCTGTTCATCAGTTTTCCCATTTCTAGTCAGTGACCCAGCAATTTGAAACACTGGAGAGTAGATGGAAGCCACACATTTTGCACTCTGTCTCACAGATGGTCTTTCATAGTATTTGATTTTCTGATGTTAACAGCAAAGAACCAGCACTCTGCTTATCCTTCAGCCTGGGAATAAGCAATCCAGCAACATAATAGGCCACATTTTTTGTGGCCAAGGGCCAGATGTTAGTCATTCATGATTTAAAGTGTTTCTAAGGAGATCATAAACGTTATGAAGTATCTAGACCAGTGTTTCTCAAACATGGCAACTTTAAGATTTGTAGACTTTAATTCCCAGAACCCCCCAGCCATTCCCCATGCTGGCTGGTAAAATCTGAGAATTGAAATCCACACATATCTTAAAGTTGCCATTGCTGAGAAACTGATCTATACTACTGTTGTGTTATTATGCCTGATTCATTTTTCAGCTACACGTGACTGTTTTAGATTTCTCCTGGACTATATCATCACAGTTTATTTAACCATGAGATATCCCTGTTGGCAACTAATATTTGCCATTGACAAGCTGTCCAGATAACCAAAAATAATAATCCCGTGCTTTGT